TCCTACTCCCTAGGCGTAGTCCCGAAATCATGGAAGACAGCTTTTGTCCACCCGATCCCTAAAAAAGGCGACCGCTCAGATCCGTCCAACTACAGGCCTATCGCCATCACCCCCTTGTTCTCCAAAATAATGGAATCCGTTGTAAACTGCCACCTCATGCGGTACCTTGAGGATCACCAGCTGATTAGTGACCGCCAGTACGGTTTTCGTCGGGGTCGATCAGCTGGTGATCTTCTGGTCTACTTAACTCATAGATGGGCGTTGGCAGTAGAGTCCAAGGGGGAGGCATTGGCCGTTAGTTTGGACATTGCGAAGGCCTTCGATCGGGTTTGGCACAAAGCGCTTCTTTCGAAGCTCCCTTCCTATGGGCTTCCCGAGAAATTATGCAATTGGATCACCAGCTTTCTTGCAGATCGGAGCATCAAGGTCGTTGTAGACGGTGCATGCTCCGACTACAAGCCTATTAACGCTGGTGTTCCACAAGGCTGCGTGCTATCACCAACGCTGTTTCTTCTGCATATCAATGATATGTTGCAAGCTGGTAGCATTCATTGCTATGCAGATGACAGCACTGGTGATGCTCTATACACCGGCCGTGCCAATATTTCTCGGGAAAACGTCACCGAGTACCGGAACAAACTTGTGTCTGAAGTCGAGTCTTTGCTGGACAAAGTCTCGGATTGGGGGCGACTAAATCTAGTCCAGTTTAATCCTCAGAAGACACAAGTTTGCGCGTTTACCGCAAAAAAGAATCCCTTTGTCGTATCTCCTCAGTTTCAAGGTACTCCCCTTGTTGCCTCAGCCAGTATCGGAATCCTCGGCGTCGACATATCGAGTAGCGTGCAGTTTCGTGGTCACTTGGAAGAGAAGGCCAAATTGGCCTCTAAAAAGCTTGGCGTGCTCAGCAGAGCGGGACAGTATTTCATGCCGGCTCAACGCCTGCAACTTTACAAGGCGCAGGTTCGGCCTCACATGGAATACTGTTCCCATCTCTGGCTGCTGAAGCTGCTTACCGTCGTACTGCCATGGAGGATTTTATAACGTCGCGGGGATTGGTGATAGTCAACGTGGAAGGCCAACCGAGCACCTTTTCGGGTGCAATGGGTGAGTCCAATATAGATGTCACTCTTTCCTCCAGAGGAGTCTCGATCACAGGGTGGCGAGTCCTGGACTGCGTCAGCTCGAGCGACCATCGGCTCATAATATACAAAGTTGGAGGAGAACCACATGCGAGGCTCCCGGGGCCGGTGGAGGTCCCTGCCCGTTTTCGGGACCGGGGGGTGAACTGGGGCTTCTTTCGTGGAACTATTCATGTACGAATGGGCGCATTGAAAGTAAGGCAGCCGGCTGATCGTCTTTGTGTGCAGTTCACTGACATTGTGGTTCGATCTGCGGAAGATGTCCTGGGGAGTGCTCGCCCTAGACGGGAGGTCGGCTATGAGTGGTGGACGCCTGAACTTGACAGAATGAGGAAAAAAGTATGTGATGCGAGAAGGGCATGGCAAAAGACTAGAAGAAAAGGAGGCAGGTCTGAGGAATTAGCCATGGAACGATTCCATAGTGTGAGAGCGCGATATAGACAGTTGATGGGGGATACGGAATTGGCCCATTTTAGAAAAATCTCGGAGATGGGAAATGCTGACCCATGGGGACGTGCATATCAGATCTCTAGCGGGAGATATCGTCCTCCCAGTAATATCATTAATGCCATTGAGTACGCGGAGCGACATTCGGGGGGGGTGAGGGAGGCCGTGCGGGGCCTGCTCGGGGCTCTGTGTCCGGACGATGATTCGTCCAAGGACACTGAGTTTCATGGGCGGGTGCGTCTCATGGCCGCCTTCACCCCATCTGGATCGGCTGCCGTTCCCCCAACCATTGGGTGTTTGGGGGGTATAGTCAGGGCGTTGCCCAACACTGCTCCGGGACTGGACGGGATTGGTGCCAAAATTGTTAAGAATGTGTGGAGAGCTGCACCTAGGGAATTCCACTGGGTGTATGCCAAATGTGTGGAAGAGGGGGTTTTCCCCGAAGTATGGAAGAAAGGACGGCTGATAGTTATTCCGAAAGGTAATGATAGGCCATTAACAGATCCCAAGGCCTACCGCCCGATTACGCTCCTCCCCATCTTTGGGAAGTTGCTGGAGCGAGTTCTGCTGCGGTGTGCTCCGAGCTTGGTGAGGGGCATATCGGAATACCAGCACGGGTTTTCGCCGGGTCGGTCCACGGTAACGGCGCTGCAAGACGTGCTTAGTACTGCGCGCGAGTCGCAGCGCAAGTATGTACAAGCCGTCTTTTTGGACATATCAGGAGCATTTGATAATGCATGGTGGCCAATGATACTGCTGAAGGCAAAACAAGGAGGGATTCCACCTAATATCTACCGCATGTTGGTGGACTATTTCACCAACAGGCGAGTGGGTATATTCGTGGGTGACTGTGCCGAATGGAAACGCTCGACCATGGGTTGCCCGCAGGGATCGGTCCTTGGACCGACCTTGTGGAATTTACTGCTGGATGATTTGTTGAGGCTGCCGTTCCCCTTAGGGACGAAAATGTTGGCGTATGCAGACGACGTGACACTTTTGATAGAGGCGAACTCTAGAGCTGAAATAGAGAGAGCGGCCAAATCTGCACTGGAGTTGGTATCATCGTGGGGAGAGAGGAACCGGTTATCCTTCTCCTCCGCGAAGTCATGTACCATGACCATTAAAGGCAAGTTCCAGCGACCACCTGTTATAAGGATGGGGACTGAGTCAGTTAAAAGCGTAACGTCGACCAAGGTATTGGGTGTCACGTTAGACACGAGTCTGTTCTTTATTCAGCACGCCAAAGATATGGGAGAGAGGGCTGGGCGATGCTTTGGGAAGATGTCGCGGGTGTCGGCATCTTCTTGGGGCATACGCTACCCCGCACTCCGTGTTCTATATAAGGGTACATATGTTCCAATAGTGACATATGCTGCAGCCGTTTGGGTTGATCGGGTGGGGAACTATACAGTGCGAACGGCACTGCTGAGATCGCAGAGATCTTCGCTCGTGCTGTTGACAAAGGGGTACAGGACGATAAGTACTGCGGCGCTCCCGGTATTAGCCGGCGTCCTGCCGGCCGATCTGGAGGTAACTCGTGTTGGTAGGATTGACCAGGCGCGTAGAAATGTTGAGAATGGGGAGTTGAGCAGGCGTAAGCGCGAAATCTGGGTTGAAGTTATGGATGTATGGCAGGAACGATGGATGAACGAGACGAATGGAAGAGAGTTATTCTGCTTCTTCCCGGACGTGTCGGCGCGGCTCAATGCGAATTGGGTCGTGCCGGACTATCAAGTCTCGCAGATACTCAGTGGGCATGGATGTTTTCGAAAGAGACTGCATGACATGAAATTGGTTGAATCTGGTATGTGTGATTGCGGTGCTGCCTATGAGGATAGGCATCACGTGCTATGGGAGTGCGAATTGTATGATGACCTGAGATGTAAGATGATGGACGGAATAGTACGCAGAGGGGTGGGTCCAGTTTACTACCCGGACCTCGTGGACGGTAAGGAGAGCTTTGGCCGGCTGCGGGAGTTTGCGCATGGTTGGCATGCGCGGAGAATTGCGATGGAGAGGAACGAAGTAAGGATTCTGCCCGGAACCGAAGGCGTAACGTGTTCGTCCAGCCCAGAAAGGGAGAGTGACACTACGGGACAAGGAGTAGATTAAATAACTTGTAGAGAGTCAAGAAAGTGCATGCGGGAAAGAGCCCTGAGCAAGTACCGCGTGCATCTCTCGAGATTCGGCCCGTATAACCGTAAGGTTGGTGGGGCCATGGGAGGTGGAGGGTTGTTCCCATCTCTGGGCTGGGGCTCCCCAGTGCCAGCTTCTTCCACTTGACCGCATCCAGCGCAGAGCGGCTCGAATCGTCGACGACCGAGTCCTTTCCGATCGGCTCGACTCATTGGCACTGCGAAGAGATGTTGCATCTCTTAGCATTTTCTTTCGCATTTACCATGGGGAGTGCTCTGAGGAATTGTTCGGATTAATCCCAGCCGCCAAATTTCACGAACGCACATCGCGGCAGAACTCCCGATACCAGCCACACCATCTGGATGATTGGCGGTCCACCACTGTGCGATTTAGAAGATGTTTTCTTCCTCGCACAACTTCCTTGTGGAATAGTTTACCACCAGCGATTTTTCCGGACCGATACGACTTAGGGACCTTCAAGAAAAGAGCCTACTCCTTTTTAAAAGGCCGGCAACGCATCTGCAATTCCCCTGGTGTTGCGGTTGTTCATGGGCGGCGGTAGTCACTTACCATCAGGTGAGCCGCATGCTAGTTGCCCCCTCTCCTATAAAAAAAAATGTTATAAGGAGTAACTTAGGCTACTTATATTTTAGAAAAATATTTAGGGTTTCGCGCAACAAAATTAAAACCCTAAATTACACGCGAGCGAAGTCACGGGAAACAGCTAGTAAATACTATAAAACAAGCTTGCGCCAACCACATATATTGTATAGCAGACTTAGTAAAGTGCGCGGGAACAAGATCGGCTCGCCCCCTGTCCCTCAAGGCCCCCACAGTTGATCTGCACGAGTACGTTGGTTTCCCAACTATAAGGTGTTTAAACTGTGCTCTAATTGTGGTGACAAGCCTGCCCTGTCCACTTTGGGCTTTTTCTTGTTTTTATATTCCATGCTGTGACTCATATACATATACGTTTATCCTCGATTAATAATCAAAATACAGATGCGTTGTCACCCCTGAGTACTAAGATGGAATGCCTAGTTTCCAGTAAAAAGGGTTTCTAGTTCGCTACACTCATATGAAACAGCAACATTAAGATCCTATTTTATGCTGGTATTCTGTGAGAGCTTGGTCGCCTAACCCGGTCGAGCCGAACTATTCGTTCTATACCTAAATATAGCTGCAGCGTGGCTCTACCACGCCAAAACCGACCCAACCTAGGGTCCTCTAGATCATTAGTCAGATTTAGGTAGAGGTTAATGAATATTAACATCATAGGCGCGGCACGTGCGTCGCAAGCAGTTGCACCAGTACCTGTGCGCGTCGCTGCTGCAGAAGCGCGAGCGCACCGTGTCGGGGGCCAAGCGCCGCCCGCCGGAGCCCGCGCCCGCACAGCCGCACAAGCGCACGCGCCGCCTCTCCGACAGCAGCGTGAGTCCACACAGCACACAACACACCGCACTCAGCACACAGCACACCGCACACAGCACACAGTACACACTCACAGCTATCAGCTGCACAGTACCTGTGCGCGTCGCTGCTGCAGAAGCGCGAGCGCACCGTGTCGGGGGCCAAGCGCCGCCCGCCGGAGCCCGCGCCCGCACAGCCGCACAAGCGCACGCGCCGCCTCTCCGACAGCAGCGTGAGTCCACACAGCACACAACACACCGCACTCAGCACACAGCACTCAGCACACAGCACACCGCACACAGCACACAGTACACACTCACAGCTATCAGCTGCACAGTACCTGTGCGCGTCGCTGCTGCAGAAGCGCGAGCGCACCGTGTCGGAGCCAAGCGCCGCCGCAAATTTTCCTCCTCTCCTCTCCTAATATAGAGAGGATTTGCATTAATTGTCATACTTTGCAGGCAGTTTGATAATTACTGTACCTGGCCTGAGCATTTTTAACGTTTATCCTGTCACTGGTTTGGGTTCTTTAAAACGAGATGGTATACCACCAGCGATCGGAAACTATTTATCGATCCTGCGCAAATACATTTACAATAGTAATAACTATAAAACTAGTGTGACTAGAGTCTTATAATGAAAAGATTGAGGCTTAGTTTTCTCTATTATGTCAATCATTAACTAAGATTTTAATGAAGGCTTAACTATATATTTTTGATTACCAAACATAACAAGTTCTATTTTCCCCATTCCCAGACTGACGAAGTGAGCATATTATCCTACAATGATGACTCAAATTCCTCAAACATATACGAGGTTAACATCCAGAATGGAACTACACCAGCACAGGTGACAACTGAACAAATGGAACAGAACCGGAACAAGACAGAGAAACCGATCCAGCCCACTGAACATCCGTCAACATCAAATAGTATAGTTTGTACGTAGCAGTACGAGCAATGGCGTAATCGGTTCATATTCGGAACCAGCAACGTCAAAATTAACAAACTGAAACGTGTTTAAACAAAATGTTTTATGTGACCATAAATGTACATCGTAACTATGTCTTCTCAGTGTCAGTGTTGGATTATAGTGTACTTTCATGAAGAATGTGATTCTAGTATAAGAACCTTGACGAAGTGACTCTTAAAGCTAATTGGTGCAATTCCGGTTTTCCCTTGTTGTGGAGCCCTGTGGAATTATGTATTGGTAAGTTGATTGATATATGTTAATTATTGTTTGCATATGCCTATGCATACGAAGTAAACTTGGTATTCACTTTGTGAAATCATTAAGAGTAAGTTAGAACATTTTTTGATATTTACTAGTTATCATAATCAGCTATGAGCATAGCTTGTTTAATAAGTGGGAGCTGAATGACTTTCTCTTATTAAAGGTTGCTTTGAATAAAATTTGAGATTTTTTTATTTCATCTTAATGACAATATGGCTAATATTATCCACATTTATTCAACTCAATTGAGATTTTTTTATTTCACTTTCATCTTAATGACAATATGGCTAGTATTATCCACATTTATTCAACTCTACGTCAGCCTATGGTAGACATGTTTAACATATTTCAGATTCAAAACAATTTATTTATTTGCATTGCTGGCATATGTTGCAAGGACCTAACATTGTCATTATATGTCTTTTCGATAATTACATTAAGATCGTTAATATTATAAAAAATAGAAAAAATAAAAGAAAACACTTAGGTTAAATAAGTCTCTAATAATTTGGCTTTCGAAGGTCCTGTGTTTTTTATATTTTTTTTGCAGGTTGTCAATGGAAGGACAAAATGCGGTAGCAAGTAAGTTTTGTTTACTACTTTCTAGGACGATATTTTTAATGGACCTTTACAGGGAGACTTATAAAAATAATTATGTATTTTTATTACAATAAAATCTGAAGACAATTTAATTATTATTATTTCAGAGCACTTATTTTTTTTAAATTTGTAATTAATGACACAACTACAAATTATTGTGATAATATGTTATGTGCTCATCCATATTGACAAAAATGGTTGTCATTCCCTGGAAAAGGTCAAATAGTACAAAATGGAAGAAACACCTCTTTTGTGTGACATGTCCCTTATAGTTTAGTTGGATACAGATGCATCGAGAAATACCAATTAAGTGTTCGAAATATTGCATTTCTGATATTAAAATAATTTTTTATGCCTCCTACCCATTAGCTTATCCACAATGCCCCAAAGACACTGGTTTGGTAACTAATGTACATATTGCAATTCTATACTAAACTTTTAAACTTTTTTCATCAAATAAAAGAATAATATGTATTTTGTTACATTAAAGTTTTAATTAAAATAGTTTTTTTTTTTTTAAGAATGTAGAAGCATACATTTACAAAAGGTATGAAGCTACTCATACACTCAAAAGCATACTAAATGTGACTAAACTTCATATTATTAAGTTCTTTTCTACCGACTTCAAAAAGGAGATGGTACTCAATTCAACTGTATGTTTTTTTTTATGTGTTACCTCATAACTTTTTACAAGATGAACCGATTTCGATGATTCTTTTTTATTTGAAAGCTGGTGCTTCACTTGTGGTCCCATATAAATTTTATCAAGGTCTGACCAATAGTTTTTGAGTTATTCTTAATAATTTATATTAAAGTTGGTTGTACAATTTTTTTTTTTTAATTTTTAATTATTTGTCACAAATTTTGTTGGTATTTATCAGAATTTTCTCACAAAACAGTCTTGCCACATAAATTCGGAATTTCGTTTCCGGATTCCGTTTCGGATTTCCGACTCGGTATTCCAAACGCTGCAAATCCATATAAAATCAAGGACAACTACTGTACACACGCACTAGTTGCCCGTTCGAAATTTACTTCAATTCGAAATTCCGCATGATTGCCTGTGCGTTCGGAATACCGTACGGAAAAAATCCGTTCCGAACGAAAGTCGTCCATAGATTTTGTTTGAGTGGCAACACACATTCGTAAATTCTTCACTAGTTTTCGAAAACTACGGTTGGTTTGAGTTAAGTACCTACATTTTGTAGCCTTGTAAGTATTGAGTGTTCTCTGCGTTGATTCTAGATGTCAAAAATTTAAGGGTTAAATACAAAAGTATGATAAACTAGCTGTTCCCCGCGGAGTTATTTAACCCTACAATAAAAGCAGCCCAAGTTACTCCTTTCTGCTACATCTGCCAGTATGTATAAATATTGACAAATATTGACATTAATATTTATACCATACTAACGTCACTCAATTGTTTTGCCTTCCCGGAACCCCCTCCACTAACACTTAAACTTTATGGTATGGTATTAAAGTTCAAATTGACTTTTAAGTATTATTACGAATCTTTTGTATGAGAATATAGAAGTGTTTTTTTTAAACTTTTTCAGGCAATTTTTTAAATTTTTCTCTCCGTAAGAACCATCTTCGTACTTCAACGAATATTATAAAAATAGAATTAGCGAAATCAGTTCAGCTGCTCTCGAGCTTTGCGCTTGGCAACACAATCAGCGATTCATTTTTATATTATATTCATTTTTATATAATCCGTTACATTTATTTTAAAAATTACTTTCCAGTACTTAAGACCTAGTCCCTGTCTATTAAGAATTTAAAGTATTCGGATAAGTTATCGGATTACCGAAAAAAAATTCATCTTCAATTTTATGGAATAGAAAAAGCAGTCTGAAATATATTTATTTATTTGTTTGTAAAAACTTCAACACAGAATGGTGTATACAGGCGTATTAAATGCATCGGGAATACTATACCACGTATACATTTAAACATTTATAACCTTTTGTTTTAATCAGCATAGGATTTACTTCTAAATACTCATTTAAAATTTTAATACTTCCGTTAAGTAAATACATACTTACGTAATAGAGTGTAATTTGTACATCAACAATTCTTTATTTTACCTCATCAACCAAGGTTATGAACAAAGCTAAGGGTATTGTATATAAGCTATTGAATAGGAATACCCACAACATGTTTTCTTTGCTCTAACTTTTTTCAGCTGAAACATAACTATCTTTTTCAGTTTATCCTTAATTAATTTTTAATTTTATAAATTGTTACTTTGATTTTGTTTTATTTCACTCATAATATTTGCCAATTTACTTGTGTAAAAATTACATTTAATTTAATGAAAAGAAAAAGAAGAAGAAGAGAATTTAAAACTTGTCCTGTAAAGTATCTTGCCATTTGCCAACTCAATTTGGTCCTCATTTCAGTTTTTCAAAGACAATCATCTTATTAATGTATATGTTACTGTAAAAGCTCGAACTACGGTAAATCTTAAAATTTTTCAGTAAAACCTAGGATTCAGTAAGTCTTAATGGTAAAAGTTCGAACTGTTCTGTGGTAATCGTCAATTTCGGACTTTTACTACCATTAACTTAGTAAATCTTAGGTTTTACCTTAAAGACAGGTAAAATGTTGAAAAATAGTCATGTCTAGTGGTGTTTAGCGCATTATCGTGCTCGCGGACATTGTGCAGTGTCACCTCTCCGCTCGACACAGTCGGTCGCTTAGTGCGTACGTTTTTATTGTCCAGAAGTATTTAAGAGACAAAATGAGTGTAGTACATGATTCGATATTTAATAAATTCTTTCTATTTATATTATATATTTTTATTTCCAAAACCAACATTTACTAATTGTTATTGGTAAAACCTAACATGTACCAAAATCTAATAGTAAAAGCCCGAAAAATAGTCCCATTTTATACAAAACCTTACATTTATCAGCTCATGTTAGTAAATCCTAAGATTTAAAAGAAAATTGTAAGATTTACTCAAATACTGGCTTTTACAGTAACATATATATGTCACAGTCAAAACTCATAACCGGTCAAAACCACTTTTGACTGATTTTTGCAGTCAAAAGTGGTTCTGACGAACGTTCTTAGTCAAAAGTAATTTTGCCTCATTTAAAGTTCACACTTTCGGTGAAAACTCGCAGTATCAGTGACAGTGGATTAAGGTGCGGCTGGGGTGGCTCCTGGGCCACCCTAAAGCCGCTTACATTACAATAATATAAAATGTAATATTGACACAATAAATGAAATTTTTTAATTTTAAAAATTCAAAAGTATAAGTCAAAAGTAGTTTTGACTAACATTCTTTGTCAAAACCACTTAATCGATATAATTTGGTCAAAATCTCTATTACCCAATATTTTTGCAGTTAAAAGTTGTTTTGACCATCGTTCTTAGTCAAAACTACTTTTGCCTGATTTTTTGCAGTCAAACGTAGGGTTGACCGGGTATGAATTTTGACTGTAACATATATGAATATGTATATGAGAAATATTTCCCACCATGTTAATACATTAATTTCGCCCTTCGTTCTGTGTTGTATGTTTCACAGTGGGCACACACATATATATATTTATAAATAATTATAATTTACATTAAGGGTGTAAATTACATATGACCATTCTTATATTTTCAAGTCTGTGTCATCAATTATTTATTGCTTTTACGTCTTTACATATTTATCAAAAATTACTATATAAAACTTAAGGCTATGCTAGTCGACGGTTCTAACTCGTTGAGCATGGCTAATATGCATGCTGTCTCATTTTGTGTCATGGCGTTAAGTGAGATGTCATGCATTTTAGCACAGAAATTGTGTCTCACATGTGAGAAACAAATTGTTATAGTAAAGAGCAGTAAAAAGCTAGTGCACATTCTTCCATACGTTAGTGTAATGTGTGAAGATTTGTACTAAGAATGAGCGCGGAAATTTTACGAACAGATCTTTGCGACAAAGGTTTTCAAATTAACTTATTTGAGTTTGAATAAATAAAATATATCTAAATGTTTTCATAATTCATTTTAGTTGAAATTTGTGTTAAAATTAGATTTAAAGTAGTTTGGGAAATCCAAACGTGCACGCCTCATGAGCGTTTCTTTTAATATTGATGAAAAAAATAAATTGTATTCCTGACTTTAAAAATATATTATTTACGTATTTTAACTTTAGCGCTCTATTATTTTAACAGGTAGTGTCACCTACAAGGAAAAAATAATAGTGTTTACAAAAATAATCGATATATGCTGTATGGTACATTTGTCCTTTGTCTATTAAGGGCTAAAAAAGTATAAAAGTGTCTTTAAATTTTTAATAGCAATAAAATTTATAAAAGTTGAAAATCATTTTATTAGCAAAATACGCGCACTAGGCTATTGATATGAAATATATGTATATAGATGTAATTCTGTTGTAATTAAAAAAAAACCGATCTCGATACATCAATTTTTTTTCGAAGTTATCGTGATCACATTATCAACATCTGGACGTCCACGTAAAATTTTTTCAAACCGTTTTTTTTTTTTTGTAAGTAGCAATTTAAAATTATTTTTTAATGATTAATTAGAGAGTTTTCTTGACATACGGTATCATATAAGTGCAATATGGTTATGATAGGGGCATGTTAAGCACACAAAATTACTTTACCTGAACGTGTCGATAGTAAAGTATAAAGCATGCCTCATAACGCGAAGCGTTATGAGGCATGCAATGCAGAATTTTCCTGGCCTCTAATTTTAGTGTTTTATGTACAGCATCAAACCTTGGAGTAATCACTCTCCTACATTAGTTTGGTTAATTGGTTATGATTATAATGAATATAAAAAAAATACTAAAAAACTTGAAGGCAAAACAGATACCTACAACTGAAAA